AAGCAGTGGTATCAACGCAGAGTACTATACGCCCGATAATAAGCTGTGTTGGAGGACCCACGGATCGAATAGCATGTTTTTCAATAAAATTGTAAGCCAGTTCCTCCCGAAAGTTTCCTTGCATTTGACCAACACTCAGCAGTTTGTAAAACAGCTGAGAGACGTGAATGTTAGTGAAGTAGTGTTATCGAGTCCTTCGATGTCACATCACTACACTAATATTCAGAATGATGCCGCGTTACAAGCACTCTCTGAGATGTTGGATACTCATTATAATACCATGTGACCTTCGGTTTGAGCAAAGCATCCATACTGGTTCTCATTAAAGAATGCCTGAACTGTAATATCTTTAAGTGGTCTGGGAACTACTATTCCCAGATCAGAGGACTGGCAGTGGTATCAACGCAGAGTACTTCTTGCGATCTGTTTTTTGAGCAAGATTGAGCAACCAGTATTGGCACGCCTACCATTGATGTACTGTCGATACATCGATGACCGCTGCGTTATAACGTCGACCCAGTCCGAAATGGACGAATGTTTCAGAATATTGAACCAGCAATCCCAGTATATCAAGCTTACACGACAAACTCCGAACAATGGGTGGCTTTCCTTTCTGAATACCCAATGACGCTTGTCTACTAACACCATTCGTATAAAATGGTATTGAAAGGAGAGTTCGAAGAACATTATATTACATGCCAACTCAGCGCATCCGAGTGCAGTAAAACGAGCTGTAGTTCGCAACATGTTCCGGACGGACCCGAGCGTATGTACGGCTGAGCAGGAGCGCCCCGAATCCAGAGCCTTGGCTACGCAAATAGCGCACAGTAATGGCTACTTGTCGCAACATACCTACCATAAGTTCTCGAAGTTTGCGAACAACTGCCATCCACGTAGGAATGATAATAAAATACCCCTATGCATACCGTTTGTTTCCGATGAAATCAGCTCAGCAATTAAACGATGTGTAGTACGAACACAACTTCGAAATGAAGTCATAGTCGTAAACATTCCGAATGACAACATTAAGAGGCAGCTAGTTAGGACTAGATTGTATAATGTGGAGTGTCTTTCGGAAGACTGCATCGTTCGCACGCACGGGAATATTGGCGACTGCGCGAAGGTAGGGGTCGTTTACCAAGTGGAATGTGTAAGCTGTGGCGCACTATGTATTGGTGAAACGGATAGAATGTTGAAAGTCAGAATCAAGGAGCATTTAGCGAGTAGAAGGCGAGCGAGTGCGTTGTCACCGTTAGGAAAGCATAGAATAGAAGTACATAATGGCGGTGAATTTGATGTAAATTGCACAATTTTATCATACGAGGCAGAGATTATAGCACGAAAAAGTATGGAAGCAGCATGGATTTCTGTCAAAAATCCAGGTATGAATAACAAAAATGAAGGCTTATCGACGACCGAACTTTTGCCATTCTTGTCGATATGTGAGCTACAGCCTGCACATATATAAAGATCATTTTGCTGAGCAACGCTCAGTGTCGCCCGTCTACTTTGTGCGGCTACTGACAACTCACTAACACCGCGGTGGAACATAGGTCAGTTTCTACTACATCAGCGTGTGACTCAGTACGTTGCCCTCGGGACGAAATCCATGACTGATGTTTGGGGATTGCGTTTGGCGGTCTTATCTCGCAGATGAATAACTGCAATCTACTTCAGACCTCCGAAGACGACGACTTTGTTGCAAAGTAAGGTCAATAAATGATACCACCGTACTAACCTGGATGTAGCACGTATAACATAGAAAAAGCCACGTATAATTTTGCATAGACTTGCTGCAATAACATACTTTCAATAACTTTGATAGATACGATTCGAATAATCGATTTGAACGGGATTTGTGGTAGCAGATTAGCAAATTTGTATGCTGTTCGGAACACGTACATTGAAGCGCACAACCTCCACAAATTTTTGTTTAGACGCATATGTTGACGAATACGCTACTCAAAAGCTATGCACTTTCTAGCATGCTTCTATTCAAAAACTATGAAAAAGCAAAGCTGGTCTTTCTTTGGTCCCATGTGCCAAGGAAACGCAACTCTTCAGGACAAAAAGACTACAGATAAGCACTTAATGTCTGCTTTGAGTAAATAGTGATGGTGACGAACAATGTTTACATGAACACTTCACGATTTTTGAGGGCTCACCAAATCAAAATATTTATAAGTCGCCATTGTAATACTGTTATGGAAAAAACAGATTCCGTTATGAAAATAATATGTCAAGGTTGGTATTTGGAAGTAAATAATGTTGAAAAATGCTTTGGAAAATTCTTCTTACTAGTGGAGTCCCTATAATCAACATTCTATACATTTTGCATCTTTATGAAGAACCTACTCAGCTATTTTCTCATTCGCATGTTTTGAGACCTAATCACAAACCTTCAAAATAAGATGATCATACCAGATACAATCCATCAAATTCTTCTTGAGCAAGGTAAATTTTTAGAAGCAATAGAACTACCTTTTCTGACGCAAAAGTTCTCTCGTTTCCAGTTCAAATAATAATACTTTCATATATTCGTAGAGGTCAGCGCATGCACTTCAAAAGGTCAAGAATTTACGTGTGAAGTTCGAACAAACATAGAATTTCAGAGTAAGGCGTTCCAGATTTCTGCCTTCAAAGGCACCGTTCACCCTAAGTTGAGGGTGTTGAGCTTTTGGCAGCATATATTAGTAGAGACCCGTATCAATCCAATGCTTAAGTCGCGGCGCAAAATGCCGCTTCGGAAGCAGAAAATCGCTTCGGAGTAGCGAAGATGCACGAGGACCCTCATCCATGCCCGCCCATTTGTGCGCGCCCATCCAATCACCGTTCCGGGAAGCCGGCCTGTGGGTCCTCCGGAACGGGGATTGTCGGGGTTTTCGCGCATTCTCGACTTCATATTCGGAATCAGGGACATAAGAAGCCTCTGAAACGACAAAAACGCGGGAGTCGAAAATGTGGGTGGACGATGCCTTTAAAGACGCTGTACGCCTGAATAATGCGTCATTTTTTCACGCTTAAGAGCGAATTCGATAATTTTGAGGAAAATAAACTATAAACAGACAGAATATCAGCTCCTTTGGTGCCAAATTCTGCACGTATAATAAAGAAACCTATTCAATCTAACATGTGACATTCTCGATTTTTATGTGAAACTGGACATCTTTTGATTCTCCTTTTTGAAGGGGTGCTTCTGCATACCTCTTCCATTTCATAGCGTTTGCGTCTCTAACGACAGCCTAGTTTGAGTAAAGTATCGAAAAACTTGATGGCAGTAGCAATTTTATTGCGATCTCAAATCTTTGGATAATTAGTTAGATAAATCATACACGAACTTTTTGGCTTTTACCCGCTTTAATCGAAGTAATTTCAACTCGATTCATATTGCTGTCAACCCCGCCTTCGTTCTCGAGAGGAATCACCAGAATTTTTCGGAGAAGTGACACTGCGTACGTGCTAATACCAGGCTTTAAAAGCTCTCAAGAAGTTTTAGCAAAAGTACATTGGCCGCTGCAAAATTCGGAACGGCGTTTGCATGAGCATTGAAAGAGAAGATTTTCCCCTGGTAACTCCATTAACAAATTTTTTGCAGGGCTCGTAATGCACTTCTGCTTACTTTCATAGAAGCTTTCATGAGTTGAGTAGGAGTCTATTTGTACTAACACTTAAAATACCGAATGCAGGAAAACTTGTTCTTTCCCCTTGTTCACTGAAGGTCAAATAGCTTATATGAAAGATGCAGAAAAATTTTTATGAGATTTATTAGGTTGTCCGGAAATTAAAGTCCGTTTGGAATTTCAACCCGCAACAAGTCATACATTTTTCATTCCTAAATAGCTTTCAAGGTACCGTTCGATAGAGCAAAGCAAGATCTACAAGGTGGTAATCTTGCTTTAGCAGCAGCTCTGGTCCACCTCGAGTTTCGAGCCAAAAATAAAAAAGATTCAACTACCCGAAAAATCAAGATAAATCATAATTCAGTTCGTAAGAATTCTACAAAAATTCTAACTTGCTCACGTAAACACTATCCACACAAGACATATATGTACGCTATTGCCGTATTTTTTCCTCTGTTAGAAATCGAAAAAACGAATTCTTTTCATACTTTTGCAAAATTGATGCTGTGTCGTTCTCATATAAGTAGATGTATACTACAAATCTGTAGAAGTGAAAACGCGGATTTTCAGCTTTTTACAAGCTTTAGTTCTCGAGAAATTTGAATTTTAGTTCGGATTACCTGACAAATGACAGCTATATTCGATATTTCTCGAGAACTAGAGCTTGTAGAGAACTGAAAATTTGCGCTTGTACTTCTACAGATTTGTAAACACAGCATCACTTTGGCAAAAGCATGAACATTTTCGTTTTTCAATTTCAATACGGCAATAGCGTACATATATGTCTTATGTGGATAGTGTTTACGTGAGCAAGTTAGAATTTTTGCAGGATTCTTATGAACTGAATTATGATTCTTCTAAACTTTTCGGGTGGTTGAATCTTTTTAGTTTTTGGCTCGAAACTCGAGGTGGATCAGAGCTGTTGCTAAAGCAAGACTGCCATCTTGTAGAGCTTGCTTTGCTCTATCGAATGGTATCTTGAAAGCTGTTCAGGAATGAAAAGTGTATGACTTGTTGCTGTTGAAATTCCAAACGGACATTAATTTCCGGACAACCTAACATTTTGTTGTAATGAGACGGTAATTGATCTACCTATCTATGACAATGTATTTGTTAATTTATGACTAAAACGCATACGCCACAATTAGACTGTTGACAGTTGGACGAATTCAATATGTTTATTGAGAGGCAATTCCCAATATTCACAAGTATAACTCAAACTTGTAACCTCCTTCAGTCATTGAGCGAGCATTCAACAATCGTATTGAATATTCAGTATCTATCGACAGCATTGGTTTGTGTTTTGGTTGCACGTGTATCCTGCTGGGCACTGAAGATTTACACATGGTCCTGAAAAGCAAAAGTATCTCTATGTCATGAAACAGTCGTGGTTAGCTCATACCTATGCATTGCTGCTGTTGCTGTCCCCATCCCCAAGGGGCACCAAGATAGTAGCCTCCTGCATAACCTAACCCAAAGGAAGGGTATGAGTAACCCCATCCACCGTATCCTCCCCATCCTCCGTACCCACCGTATCCACCGTATCCTCCATATCCTCCATATCCTCCATAACCTCCATAGCAAGCTAAAAATGACATATGGATGTTTTGAAATTTCTTAGCGTACGTTATGATATTCTATCAAAAAGTTCTATTTATGTATCGTCCTGTCGATACACTGTGATGGAGATCGTCATTACCTGCTCACAGAAACGGTGTCCTCTCCCAGTTTTGTTGCCAGCTCCCTGCACGCACTATGTTTTCGTAAGCAGCATGCTCACTCCCCCCCCCCCCCCTCACCCCTGCGTAGCAAATTCTAGTACCCGCCTCCAGAAAACAAACAAGAATCGATAATTTCGAAAGTTGCCTTTTCAGCCCCCCCCCCTCCCTCCCTGTTTGCCCTCAAGCTAAACACACCAAAAGAGTCCGCGTAGGACCTTCTACATTGTAGGCAATCTGAGATTGTGGAAGGACCGCTTTGCAAGGCATATGCGCAGCGATGCGCGCTGGTCTGCTTGCCTTTGAGGCAGTCAAGTTCAAGTTAGGCACCTAAGTCATTCTCCTTCAACTAACCAAAGATTTAGATTTCCCATTCGCTACGGCTTACCTCAATGTTGTAATCCGAAAAGTTGTGTCTGGCAAAATTTTTTGTTGCGCAAACAGTTACAATTTTGACGAAATCATTAGCGTATAGTTCATACATGGTTCAATAGCTTATTGTTAGACTTTGCCGTTTTCAAGGAAACGTTTGAGCGTGATCCGTCTGCCTGAACGATGATTGCTAGAAAAATAACCACTGAAGATGAAATATAGGATAAAGAAAATTTTGGCTGCGCTCGTAATTTCACAGTTCGCCGTCGTTTAAAGTGGAGCATACCCTCAACACATAAAGCCATGACACTGGTAACCTTCACTTTGAGCGACATACGAACGCACAACCCTCACCGCAAAAAACAGACATCTGGAGCGAAGCCCCAAACATTATGATCATGATTAAATCGGAAAGAATAACAAATATAAGGAATAAAATCACCAAGTTATCCCAGCAAACCAGAAAAATTGAATTTTTTGGCCTCTTTTTCCGTTAGAAAGAAGGTTTTTGTTTGATTTTTTTCACTTTCAGAACAACGTTTCTGACTTACAAGGAAAGGAAGGTTGATCGAAGTGGCCTTTTGAGATGAAATGTACACAGATTTGTAGAGCTTGGGACGCTGATTTCAAATCTACCTTTGCTATCTGCTGGGGGCTTCTGGGCTAGGAGTTATGAAGGTTTTTGTGAGTAAAAATCTAAATGCAAGAGTAGGCTAAAATCAGACGTAACATTTTTTATAGGGCTTAATTGGTAGTGGGGTCACTCGGTGCAACAAATAATCTTGATTTAGATATACCAACTCGCTGCTGCCTAATTTGAACGCTGGGAAAGGGTTACGACTGATTTTGGCCTACTCTCGCATTCAGATTTTTACTCACAAAAACCTCCATAACTCCTCGCCTAGAAGCCCGCAGCAGATAGCAAAGGTCGATTGGGAATCAGCTTCCCAAGCTCTACAAAACAGTGTACATCTCATCTCAAAAGGCCACTTCGACCAACCTTCCTTCCCTTGTTAGTCTCTTTCGAAATCAAAACTGTGTTTCAAAAGCTTGCAAAAGCTGCTCAAGTTCGATAAAAACGAGAAACTGCGCTTAGATCTCGCGCAAGAGTCGCGCACCAAAGTGCTGGCTTATCTCCTTAATAAGTGTTTTCAAGCGTACGTTATCAATGCTCTTATTGTTAGTGGTGTCATGGCGATCAGAATGATATATAATGCTGCAGGGTTTCGTCAATAACCCGCGGAGATTTACGCCCGCAGCAGATGCTCCGTCGGCTCTGGTCTGTCTCCGCTGCTCGTCTGCGTCTACGCGCGCTGTGCGCTACCTCGCTACCCCAACCTCGGGGCGCGGGGCATTTGGCTCTGGTGCCCGTTTCTTCGCTGTTTTTGATTTAAAACTAGCAAACTGATGCCATATCAAAGCGCTTGAATTCTGTTTTCACGTTGACGACGCCCAAAACCCCATTTTTCGAAATGAGCGAAAAATCGGGCAAAAACCATGTTTTCGGAAGTCTTTTTTTTTAGTTCAACCCTTTTCACGTGGTTTTTTCATGCATTCGATAGGTCTTTCTTTCGTCTATAAGACAGAAAACGTTCCAGAGTTTACTTCTTTGATCGTAGTATTTTGTGAGAAATCGTAAAAAAAGCGCGTTTTTCTTGGCCTTATTCTCTCTCAGTGTTTTCGCAGCGATTTTTCCCAACTTGGGCGATTATTGCTTAGAAGTAAGCGCAACAACGCAGACAACGCCGCACGAGATAGCAACAACAATGCGTAGGTGAAAATCCAAAGCGCATCAAAAACTAGACTGGCTTTGACGCGCATTTCGACTTAGTAAATCAAAACTTTGCGTTTTCGTAACCAAACCTTTTCTTGTTTAGCTTCACAAACGATAACAAAAAAAAATTAGCTTTTCCTCGTTTTTCACCCATGTTGTGGATTACCTGGTCCTGGAGCTAAAACCTGCAATTCAAAAAGCCACCGAATTGAATATTTGAAACTTATAGCAGCGTTTTTATCCGGTATTCAGTTTCCTTTACTTTCTATATCTGTTTTGCGTCTGTTTTCTTCTCTGATTTTCTATAAACATCCTCCACTTTTTATGAGGGCGGATGTTCGAACAATCTTCACTTTTGACCCGCTGTCTCTAGGCTATCGAAAGTGTGAAGTGGAAATAATGTGTGACAATAAAAAGTGCTTTGTATTGGTTACAAAAAAGTAGTTTTTGGTACAAAACCACCTTTAAAATCAAATTAACTATGTTTGAAAATAAGCATTTCAGCTACATGGCACAGTATTTGTAGATCTCAGAGATTGCTAAAACATGCTCTAGGAATTATTTGGTATGCTAACTACGAAACTGTACTCAGTGTGCTTAATAGGCCCTATTTTGTATGCTTGCGGTGGGTGATGGGTGAATATCCTAGGTTTGCTTGTGTTTTGCACAATAGGACTGGCATACTGTCAATGGTCACCTAATTTTCACTAGTTTTATTTCAACTCGACTCCCTGCCTATTTGGTTTCTTAATACTCTTCCAATCTCCCAGGTGTGAACGACACTTGGAAGATTGTAACTTATCGTTAGTTTGAATTGTTGCCGCATAAATTAAGCACACAATTAGCCCCATATCTGGCAGTGCTACTAGGACCTGATCTCAAGCCATAGCGAAATTGAACTGCAACTTACTAGGACCTGATCTCAAGCCATAGTAACTGAATTGTAACCCAGAAAGTAGTTTACACCACGCATTCACGCCATAGTTGCATGCTAAATTTTACTAATCGAAGGAGCACGCTAGTGCTACTCGTTTTTTTGTTTTTTCCTAATCTCTACCGTTTGCAGACGGACTTGTTGCAAATTGAAGTTGCATGCAGATAGAGCCCACAACTTGCACTCATGAGAGGTGCATCCTCATGCGCTTGCACAAAAAAGTATCAATGGACGGGAAAGGAAAAGAACTTACGATAGCCCCAGCTTCCGCACCTTTTGCTGCGCTTTAATGGCATATCTTCTGCGGCTAAGGTAATAGTGGAAAAGAGAAGTAGTAGAATAGCGTACGGAGACATACCGACTTTACAAACTTGAAATGGCATCAAAATATCATTGTCGACAGATCTAGTTTTCTCTTTCGATGTGTTGTGAGTAATACGGTCTGCTTGAAGGCACTTGATGCTCAATCTGTGTGCATAACAGACGCATTTACTGTGTACTCCAAAGGTTATGTTCACGGCAGATTTATGACAGATTCAAAGATTTGCGGAGAAAAATGCTCTTTGAAAACATCATCGGCACACCTCTACTCCTCCCCCTTTGGGATGTTTGTACTATCATTATACGAGAGTGACTTCCTGTGATGTCATTTGCAGTGCAGACCGGGTTCTAATATGTGATGGTGCCTCACCTCATTCATATAGTTGTCTTGAGTTTTTCGTAGTCAATTGAGGGAGATGAGGCGGGATCACTTGTGTAAAAACAAAGCACCTTTGATAATTATACTTAAACTCTTTCGTTAAATCAAATTTCACTTTGACTTGTATCGTGTCATCATCATTTTGTACCTAGTATGAAAATTCAAACAGAATGACAGAATCCATGGTTTTTTAAGAATAATCTGTAGTTACTGAGAATTTACTATGCAGCATGAAAGGTAAGCTCATCTAAAAAACTTCAAAACATCAAATGAGTAAACACGTTTGAATCAAAATATAATTGCCTGAGTCAGAACGGCGACTCCATCCAACTTTAAAAATTGTCATGTACTGTACTACTTGGCATATGCGCGAGATTGTTACAGACGTCACTTTCTTGTAATCAGTCATGCATAAGCATATAAGTTTTTCTGATCTCCATTACTTCTACGACTAAAATGTTAATCTGTTTCCAAAATTAGCTTTGTTGTAAGTGATAAAATAAGCAATATTGACCAAAGTGCTACTAAAAATAACTTTTGTGGTGCATGCAAACACAATGAAGGTTTTGTGCGTATCTTTACAATGCTTTGTTTTCTAACATTGGCAAGATCACCTACACATGCATTTAAACTATTTAGAAGTTCCATGACCTCCGTTTTCCTGGACTTTCCAAGGGCATCGCATGTGTACTTTGAACCGCTTTTAACCAACTTTCATTACTCGTAGATATAGATTTCTGCGCACAGACTGTGATTCCACTCACTTTATGGAGCTATGGTGTTTATGAAGATCAAGCAAGTGCGCAGATCCTCCTTTCATATTTTACTCTTTTTTTGGAGTGGTCTCTTAAGTTTCTGGTGAAGTATCCAGTAGCAGATGTGGTAAATTTGTGCTCAGTCGTCAAGTGTTTTGATAAAAGTTGGTCATGCGTTGCCAAAACTTATTTGTTCTGCCATCGCCTGTTCTATCATCGTTTTCTTTCAAAAACTTTGTTTTCACCATGTTTTCAACTGCTAACTTAACATTGTGAAGATGTCTTTTGATCTCCCTAGATTTAGATGAAATATTATTGCTGGATTCGATCTTGCAACCAAGTGAATTTGCAGAACCCATCACGATTCTTCGTGATATGGTCTGATATCATCTTCCAACAGAATGGTCGAAATCGTATTTTTCATGTCAGGTTCTGCCATTCAAAAATGCTTTCCATGTACACACTTTTTTCCGAAAGCTCTTTGATGTTAATCGGCTTTGAACGTAGATGTGTGTTGCTTCTCTTTGTATTGTGAGATACATATAAGCGATGTTAGCGATGTGCATCTTGTTGTTTTGAAAACAATAAAAGCAATTGGTAAACTTCGATCAGAGCATAGAAATCCTTTCAAATCTGTTGCTGAATGTGCTTTATCACTAGTTTCGCGAGGGTGCTCTCTACACAAGGGTTACGTACAGGAGCTTTCAATCTGAGTGTCACGGTCGACGTGGTTCAACTCCTCGCGAGCCGCCTCGCGTGGATCTCTCACGTGGCACAATACCGCACCCGATGCCGCGAAAGCCTTAGCGGATGTGGTATGGTACCACGTGAGAGATCCAAGCGAGGCGGCCTGCGAGGAGTTGAACCACGTCGATTGTGACACTCAGATTGAAATCTCTGTAAGCTTGCTCCGTAATTTTCCTGTAACGGAACATATTCTTCTCATTCAAGTTCCTTTACGATACTTTACGACAAACTGACGTTTCGACAAGGATCGCCCTATTTAGAGCCTAAAATGATATTTTCAGCACATTTTCGCATAAACATCAATGCATCATTTTGTACTGTGCTGCTTGAAGCTGATGATGAGATCAATTTTTATTCAATTAATCTATCAAGAGGTTCTTTTACGTCTCATTTCGGTTCGTGGTTATGTAATTATCTCCAAGCAAGTGAGTGGCAAGTTCCTTTTTTTAGAGATGCGAACAATACAATAAAAGGCAAGCAGCTACATTCATAGGCTGGTTGCAAAATAGACGTCTTTTCAAACTTTCAAATTGTATGTCTACTCTAAAGAAATCTTTGAATAGCTTGCATAGCACAACGACGCACTGCATTCATCGCAAAACAAGTGGAAAGCACGGCGCTTTGTCGCTTTCATTTAGCTCACATATACATATAGCGTTTGCGTCCACGTGTGGCGTTTCTTCTACTTTGACCCATTTAAAGTGCATTTTTGAGAAAACTGAGATTGAGGGCTCGATGTACCGAACAGCCTTTTGTTAATCTGCCTTTCATCATAAGAAAAGTTGCGATTGACACCATTAAAACATCCTTACCGGAGACAAGGTATAAACGCAAGAAGGTAAAAAATGCGAAATTGAAAGTTCTAATTCCATTTCAAAGGTCCAAATTCATAGATGGCCCTCCAATTTCGACCGAGACGATAAGATCTTGAAGACGTTCCGCTTATCGGCAAATCAGCAAAATCACATTCTGCTGCCTTTCTTGGCTCGGTGAAGAGGAGCTTGGGAAACCTAGCACTCGTTGCGAAAATGTTTAACATGAACTGAGCGAAGAACAGACCTGTGGAAGAGTGAATGACTTTTTCTATTAAAACGAGTTAAGCTTTGTCTGAATGCTTGAACGGTCTTCTGCAAAATTTGCCGAAAAAAGAATACGATTTTCTGCAAGTCGAACATGATTTATAGAATCACGGAGTAATGCTGAAATGTAAGCATCCACTTCAACATACCCATATCTGTTATTGCTCGAGGACTTGCTATCTCTACTTATAAATGTGAGATCTGAACAGTTTTACAGTAGATCAATACAACCCTATCTAATGCTCACGGAAGGAAACAAGTCACATAAAAAGCAACTGTTCTCGTCGTCATGTGGCTGCAAAAACCAAATAAGTCCATTTATGTTTCTACGAGCGCAATACTTTGCTGATTAGTGCACTATCCTCAGAAAACCTCTCTTAAATGTGACGTAAAAGAGTTGAAAGTTGACCATTCTGCATGTAAATTGTGATCAATTGGGCGGTCTCCTAGCCTTGCTAGCCGATGTAGGCGATCGAATATGATTTTGGCTTCAGAGTTTCACTTGCATCACAGTATGTGAAGTCTGGCGTCTGTCGTTTACCTCTACATTGGGTAAAAATATCCCAAAAAAGAAAGTATTTATGGCAACTTTATCGGAGAGGGTCAAAGTCATGGAACAAATTAAACGTTTTGTTTGCTCATTCAAAACTATTGAGTTCCAGACGTTTCTTCCTCTATACGTGTACCATTCTTGTACATGAAATCAGTTTCTTTGTTCACAACATGGGAAGCATCGCTAGAAAGTATCAGCCACAGTACAGTCCGTGTAAATCACATGTCACCTTTTCCGTAAGCACAATGAGCTTCGCGTCACGTTCACCCGCGTGTGGCTTGGGCTTCTAAAATGGCTTCATCGATTGGAAATCCGCACGCTGGAACCTTGCGTTGCGCTGCGTAGTTCGCATGCGAAAAGGAGTACGTAATTGATATTGAGTGTAGGAATGCACTGAATGTACGGTATGCTTTGGAAATTGTTTATAAGGTTCCACAGGCAGTTCATTTTAGTAAATACTCTCGAGAAAACGACAAAAGGATTTTGGACGAATGGGCTTGGCCCCTTTCATGCCCCAAAAAGTTTTTGAGGTTTTACCAGGTCTTATCGAGCTTGTACCTTCGAAATCAGAAACAGAAAAAGGACATGGCGGAAGCTCTCTGCATGAAATTAGCTCATGTGAAAACATCTAAGAGCTTTTATGACCCATCCATCAGTCTCTGTTTACGGGTAGGCTTTACGCGCTACCTTAGCGTCAGTTGGTCATCTGTGTAAATTGCTTATCAGTGCAGCTGAATCAGCCCATGTGCGTGCCGTTGCTCTTGATGTAGTTGGGTGGCACATCACTCAAATGTTACCAATGAAATCAAATAATCAACTTTTTTCTCCTTTGTTATTGCATGAATGGTGAGGTCAATACAATTTTCCCTTGAATTGTACTATAAACGTGAAATTGTTGCAGTTAGATAGAAATTAGTACATTAACATAAAAAATCAACAAAAGAGGCAAGAAGAAGGCGAGAGAAAATATTGAGGTGGCAAACTGCGTAACACTAAGACAGCATGAATGGTTAAGAAATCAAGTAAAAAGTCAACGATATTGTATTCAGATTGCGTATGGGTTTGATAATACTCAAGTAATGCATTCTTCGATAGCTTGTTTAGTACAGCTTACATATATCGACTCGAAAACATATATTTATAAAGAAGATCATATGATGTCAAAGTATGTACTGTCAAGGAACCTTTACACATGTCAAAGAACATGAGATTTTGGAGAAGCTTGAGAAATGTATTCTTGATAGCTGTCCTAGATGACATATCCTGGGTAAGCGTAGCCAGAAGCGGCGGGATAAACGCCGTGAAATCCACCATATCCTCCGTATCCGTATCCACTGTATCCACCGTATCCACCGTATCCACCGTATCCACCGTATCCAAAAAAGTCATACCCGTATCCTCCACCGTATCCGCCATATCCTCCACCGTATCCGCCATATCCTCCCCATCCTCCCATGCAAGCTAAAATACAACAAACTCAGATGTGTGAAATCTTCTGACTTGGCCAACTCTAGCACGTCCTCACAATATCACTTACGCATCCGATTTTTGGATAAAAACGATCTTTCTTACATTTTCGTTGTGTACATAGTTTTGGTCTCTCTCAATTCTTCTCGAACAATAAACGAAACAACTCCGGAATGAAATAAAGACGGTAAAGACTATAGAACTAAGACTATAAAGACTTAATAGAATGATTTGCTCTCTTCTTTTTGCACTGCGATAATTATTCGGAAGCATTATATATGCCATGATTGGCCTGTTGCCTTAAAACTGGTATTCTGCAATCGCCTATTTAACAGTTTCGTGTATGCTCTCCTTATATTGTTATCGCACTCTGATTTTGATAGAAGTAGCAAGAAGTAAATATTACCTTCAATGTTGCTTGTATAGTATATTAGTTGATGCAACGTGCACTTATCTTACACACTTGGTGTTCAAACAGATAATGATTTCAAGAAATCAAGAGTTTAGTTGTATGATAATTTAAACTTATAACAGGCACAGAGAATTGCTTTGTATACTCTTGCAAAGAAATAAGATAACAAAATATGCTGCTTATCCAATTCGTTCTCGCACAGCAGTTTTCAATTTCATTTGGAAAAGATACGATGAGCTGCATTTTTTGGGATTGTTTCCTTTAATCTCGTATTCAAATTAGCATCGACTATAAACTCCTGCTTCCCAGCAACTGTAGATCATCGATTATATAACAGACGCCTACCAACTACCTGAGAATCCTGCATATTTTATGTGAGTCAAGAGCGGGACTAATCACTTTGTTTTCAAGCTTGGAAAAATATTACAGGAAAGCTTCGAAATATAGTGACCCGTTTGCATCTGAGTTCGAAAAATGCTTCTCGCCCGCCACGTCTGTCATAATAACGCTAACGCTCACAATGGAAGTGGACGGGCTGACGGATTGAAACGCCATTTGGTTTAGTGCATGATTTGAAAGATGAGTTTGGGGAAGTGTACTTGGGAGGTCTACTACATGGCACTACCAAAATCTGACAGAGATTTATTGGTCTTTTGCTTTAGCAGATCAGGCCAAAATAGCTTTGTAAAATTTTTACTTGCACGAAAGCCAGTCAATTTTTCCGCTTTCGCTTCACGGCGTTCGGTGATTAATCGAGAGATCCGCTTTCAAAGTACAAAAAAATTTGCAGCCCATATTTCGCAGAACACTGAGTTATACAGAGTGAGACGTAAAATATGCTTTGAAACTAATTAGAGAATTTATAACTTACAAAAATTGAAATTACGATATGTAATCTTCAATAAATTGAAAGGAAAAGTGACTTACGAGCACCCCATCCTCCACATCTTTTGCTACGTTTCAAAGGCATCTCATCTGCACTCATGAGAGCTGTGAAAACCAGAAGCAGGAGTATTGCGTGAAGAGACATGTTGCATTCAAGAATGGCGATTCGGAAATAATATGCTAGACCTGTCTACATATATACAAAATAATATGTGTGGACAGATCTAGATTTTTACTCTAAAGTGTCATGTGTAATAGTGTATATTTGTGTAAATCTGTTTAGTATTCGATCTTTGTAGAAAGTGAACTCATTGTGTGCTTGAAGGTCATGCTCGGGGCTTCAAGTTCTCTTCAAAGGTTCGCAGAGTGAAAGTGCTTGCCTAGTTTACTTTGGCGTATGTCATCGACATTAGACTATTTGTCTACCTCACCGACCTTGAGATAACTGTACTTTGTCGATGTACTTTTGAAGACGGACAGCAAAGTCTATGAAAATGAGTCAGGTCACGATTTTGTACAAATCTGCAGAAAAGTTTGACTTTTGGCTTAAGTCAGTTGATGTAGACACTTTTCTATACTTTAAAAGCCTGACATGAAAGGTTGTAATTTTTGGAGACCTTTGTGAATTTGCATTAGATTGATTTTTGCAAGAAACTACAGAGATTTTTGTAAGAGTGATCTGTGATTGTCGACAGTCACTACAACTTCAGGACAAAGTAATGTTCGTCGATAAGCTTTATAAATTAAGTTGGTCAGAAAGTTCTGGGACAGTCTCAAACAAAGTGTTCGTGGTCGTACCTACTGCGAGGGGAAGATTGAAATGAAAGTTTAAGGAATTAGATAATCAAATTACACAGTGAAATATTGGAGTCTGCAAGCGTAAATTTCCTACAGAGCTCTCATGGACAGCAGGAATCCACTTATAATAAATATAGTAACATATAATAAATCTTCCATACATATCCACATGATTTCATAACTCGATGAGAGTTAGATAAATTTTGTCTACATGCACTAACTCTCAAGAAATATTGATTTGAGCATGCAAATGTCACAAACTTTTCTCACTTCAATATTATTACCGTATAAGCCCGACTTATACCAATATTCCTGCAAATCTTGCAAGATCCGAAATCGCAGGCAAACATAAACTTAGTGTACACAAAAAACGTGCCCACTAATGAATACCTTTTGAATAGTGCATTAAGTGGCTCCTTAAAAGAGACAGGTAAGTCTGCATTCACAACGTTTTTCAAGGTAACAGTCTCATTTACCTACTTTGCTACAAAAACAACTTCAATTTTCAGATGCAGCTCAAATTTTCGTACGCACTCCTGCTGCTGCTAGCACTTTCTACTGTCACATCAACAGCCAGCATAAACAATGGGAAAATGAAGCAATCCAGAAAGAAAAAATTCATTGCGATTTACATATGCGGAAATTCGCTGTCGCCCAATCGTGAGTTGCATGATTCGATCTACTTGATAACTACTGTGATAGTAGGTTTCAATGACTATAGAAATGGTCATTTTACAAAACGTGAGATCCAAGTTAAAGAAATCTATAAGATGGCCTTTTGATTTTTCAAAATTTCGATTTACGATGCTCTTAACGTAATGGTAGAAATCTGGCATCGATTTGTCATGAAAGCACAGCGAAAGAGCAAGGAAAAAAAAAGCAATTTTAAGATATCTGCCACCGCCGCCAAAATTTTATGCTATTCGTTTCACATGCTAGTACGGAAGGAAAACCAAAGCGTCGAAATCGGTTGAGTACGTTGAGTGACTGGAGTCACACTAAGTGGGGTTTAGGTTTGATACAATTTTTGCGTCCATTACTTTTGGAGTTTACCATGTAGCTGCGAGTCCCGTGATGATTTGAAACTTTTGACGGCCTTTCACTCATATCCTCCACAGTTTGCAGTATGAATTATGATGCCATTTTTATTAGAAAGCAGCGCCCAAGAATGGCTAATATAAAAAATGGCTAATATCTAGTTTTAGTAATTTTTTGAGTATAGAGAAAGGCTAATGGTAGACTTTCTCATAGACTTGTAGTTGGATCTTCCGAAACAGTTCGTGGACATTCGATATTTATTGAATCTTAAATGTAGTATCATATGTACATGGAACACAAATAGTAATGGTCATCATGTGCCCTTTGTTAAGATTTTTGTGAGCGTCACACATCCAAATCAGGTCACCGCGCTTCCCTTCCGAGAAGGGTAACTAGCTAGTAACGGCTTTGATAGAAGTGTTATAAATTGTTACTCATAAGCAAAAAACACAATTTTTCTTCTATTGCTGTAATTGCTAAGCAAATAACTTCTTGCAGCATCTGACCTCAACAATTGAAGTTTTTCTGTATACTGTTACATTCAGCCTGCAACTTGGGAGGTGTGATTGGATCTCCGTATGGATCGCTATACGGATCCCCGTATGGATCCCCCTATGGAGGGCTCACATATGGATCTCCCTATGGCTCTCCCTATGGAGGCGCGACAATTGCGTCGCCTTATGGATCTTCCTATGGGGCCTCGTACGGATCTATGCTAGGAACGCCCTATACTTACAATCCTTATAGAACTCCTTATACTACTTTTCACTATCCAATTCACTATCATTATTACTGGCCTCAACTCAATGGTAAACCTCAAGCAACATCAGGACAACCTTCTCAACAATGCGTAGGTAAGACAGGCTTGAACCTTTTTTTTTCAAAACTCGGATGGGCTTTACCTCCCAGGACCATGTGTGGATTCTCAATGTCCATCCGGATACGTATGCACTGAAAACTCTGAATGCTGCCCACAGAATGGAAGTGTGCCACCACCAGAGCGATAGTTCGGATGTTTCCACCATGGCAGAGTTTTCAAATGGTTGCTTCTGTTGTTATGCCCTGATTCGTTGTAATTTGAGGCAATGTTGAACGAAATTGTTATTAATAAATATGTTGTGATACAGTACGTTATGTCTATCGAAGATGTGCTATACATGTGAAGTTTGGACAGATATTGAAATTGATTCAATTTAAAGATATCCACAATAAGTCGCTTACCAAGATATGATAATGAAACGCAGTGGAAAATTGTTGTGCCTACAAAAATATATCGCTGTCTGCAATTGAAGAAGGTTCAAAGACGAGTTCAATAAGTTTTAAAGAGCACTTTTTGTTTACGATTTGATTCTCGATTGTTTCAGCATCGTTATATCACTATTAAAACATGCAGTTTACCCAAAAACTGTTCTAGTGATATGATAAGTAATTCCATTCAACTCTTGTTTCAAAGAATCTGTAGAATAGCGGATGCAAGATTTCTAAGGTCATTTTGCTGGACAAAGTCTTCCAACTTTCCTAGTTTGGGTTTAGAACTTTATTTTGTTTTCCGCCGCATATTTCTTTTATCAGCCTGCAGGCTGAAATAGGCTGATCTTTTGTGCTGAAGTTTCTTTGCGATTTTTTTCTCTCTGGCGCACCATGAGCGTATTTATATAAAAAAATCAAATGCATAAATGGCTACCAATTTGTGAACTAATTCCCAGCAAAATTATTTAGGATGTCAGTCGATTTGGCCTTCGTCAAATCGAAAGGTATGCACATGAAAAAATAACACATGAACATTGTAGCGAGTAGTAAAAACGGGAGTACCCCTTCATGTACATTTTTGCGTCAGTTGAGACATGTTAGTCAAGCCATGTATGGCTGTGGATGTCCTTGGTTATCTTTGCATTTACCCCACTTTCCGCCGATAACTAAAGATGAACGTATGATTTTATCATGATTCAAGATTAGGCCACTAATCTTTAAGCTTTCCTTTTTCTTACTGAGAAGTTTTTCGTTCAATTCTTTTTAAGCGCTCACCCAAACAGTGACGGAAGCGGAAAAAAGGTTAGCTTTCGGGCAAAACTTCGCGATAAGCTGAACACACAGCGTACGTAGCTCGCACTGCCGCGATGACACGGGCGTCAAGACTTGATTTTATGTGGAGGCAACATAAACAGCTCATATCGGTTGTTTTTACGCTGTTGTACTGATGAGATCGAAGTGTTTAGGATTGGAAAATCGCAGAGTACCCTTTATTAAACTTCCAAAATTAATGGACTGAACAGGAAAAACAACATATATGGGGTAGGTATTAATTACGCCTCGGTTCTAAGTGCGAGTTTTGTGAACGGAGCCTCCTCGAAACTGAGCCGATTACTCTGAGGTTTGGTTATATAAGCTTGACTCATTAATGTGTACTTAAGTTTAGCACTGCAATTCTCTGAATGAGTTGTAGAAAACCGTGGAATTTACAGGATTCAAAATCCCGGATTACGGTTATAGATTGGCAGATCTGGCTCAAAAAACATGGCTGGGGAAGCCAATATACAATATGTTTGCGAGCTTTGTGCGTGGTTGCGCTTTTAAAAGCATAGCTACTTGAAAATTTTCCAGTATATTATGTTGCCTATTCTGATCCGGAAGTTCCGACACAGTTGCAGCACAGCGCTCAAACTGTGCTGGAACTGTGCTGCATGCGCTGCATCCCCCCACGTGAGGTAGTGAGCGACGGAAAATAGCAAATTATATGCGCTTTGCTTGTTTTTGTCTTTACATGTTTCCTCTTGTGATGGAAAAGATTCCAGACTTACAGTCTGCCCCAATCGGGATCAGGCCGAACCGTCGGCTGAATTTGCGCGCTCGCAGCGCTAGGGGTTTGCGCTGCATACGCGCGCTGTTGCAGAGAGCGAAGAGATTGAGGAGAGAGCAGACTAGCTAGACGCAGAAGTGGCGCGAAACCCTTGCGGTGCGCACTCCCGCCAAGCCAATTTTGGCCTGGTTAGGATTGGGGCAGACTGTAGAACGAACCTCATGAATGAACGCTTTTTTTCGTGCCATGTGTTGCTCAAAAACAGTACTTTTTTGACACGTTCTTTCCATAAATTTATATCCTGTCTGTCTTTCAGGAAGTCACTGCTCCATAGATACAGCCTGTTGTATCGAAGCAGAACTGATACAGTTATCACGGTAGCGAGGATCGGATTTTATTTGTGCTTTGATTAGAGTGAATTTTTTCTAGGAGTCAAACCCCTGGGATGCAGATTAAAGGCATTTCGATTAATAAGGCCCCTACCTTCAATCCACGAACTCAAGTCTGCAGATGAAACGCTTCAAGATGAGACTACCTTTGAAATAAGCACAGCGGAGTCTAGAGATGTTTCACCGGAGTCGTGTGCGATTAAAGGATGCCAATAAATCGAAATCACTGTTGTCTCGCACTTTAGTTCAGCCAACGGCTCTCTATATGGCGGTGAATGTTGACCATGTATCCGAAACGAAGGGTTAATGTGATGGAGAACACGTATGCTGAGATGGATGGTAGGTTGCCCGATTCAGAATACAAGAGCGGCGACTTCCATGGTATACATATGCAAAGAATAGAAAAAGATCACGTCCCTAAAATGGCATTTGTGGAAGTCACCGGGAAAAGCCACGAAAAACAGCGAAGCTAAGATGGGTGGATAAAATTATAGCACACTTGAGAGAAATCGAGTTATATGAACATCGCGCTTGAAGACTGCGAAGAATGGAGAAGAGTAATACAAGCAGTGAAGTATCTGGAGTGATACAGTCTGCCCCAATCGGGATCAAGCCGAACCGTCGGCTGAATTTGCGCGCTCGCAGCGCTAGGGGTTTGCGCTGCATACGCGCGCTGTCGCAGAGAGCGAAGAGATTGAGGAGAGAGCAGACTAGCTAGACGCAGAAGTGGCGCGAAACCCTCGCGGTGCGCACTCCCGCCAAGCCAATTTTGGCCTGGTTAGGATTGGGGCAGACTGCAGGATTGATAAATAACCGCCCAACAATCTGTATAAGAGCAGAGGCGGCGCCTCAAAGCTTTTAACAGCGATAGGTCTCGCAGCAGTAAAATAACGCCGAAATTTGACATTTTTGACGACATAGTGTTGAGGTAGCGTTTCGGATGAGAAGCTCTTATCTAACGGCAAGAAGTTCATTCGATAATCTACCATTGAAAAGTTTAGTGTTTACCTACTCTATAATGAATAACCAATATGAAAGAATGAAAAGCTGCACATCGAATAGCATGTTTGGTAAAGTGCAATGATTGCGGACAAACATGGCAATGGTTGGACTTTCGATCTCCTTCAATGACTTTGCTTTGCAAGATACTTCGTTTCGAAGTTTCCTATTGGTTAATTCGTGGTTTCGTTGGGAAACTGATGTAAAGCTGCTGGTTAGCTGATGTCATGAAAACGCAGTTAACATGATGGTTTCAACCACGTATGACTAATAAGTCAATCGTTCATTGATATATACCTTGTGTGTAGTACGAAAGTAAACTTGAGATAAAGAGGAGCAGATCCCACATAAGGGAACATGCAGGGAAAAAATTAGACCAAGTTTTTGGTCCATTTCTTACCGTGAATCATTGCGCTTCCGCTGTTGGTTATCGTTCCCTTTTCTAGTGAAAAAACTCCATTTGCAGCAGTGTCAAGAATGGAAGCCGTTACTTTTAAAGGCAGCTGCAAATAACACAAACCCTTGCATATATTATCGCACCCATCTCCAACTCTGCAACTTTTGCTGGACCATAGGAAGCTAGGTACAAAATAAGATAAAAATGAGCAAATCTGCTCTGGAAACCGTTGAGAAAGGTCTCCTTGCTAGAATTTCTCGTTACTTTTACATCAGTAGTTTCCTTCACCGCTTGAAGAGAGTTGAATGCATTTCAACGTTAGTTTCCCACAAAATCACTGCTTGATATTCTTACATCGTTTTGTTTTTCATAATATACACTTTTCCCACAACTTCTTACTCCCGAAACGTGGAACCTCCGGAAACACCTTCGATGTGCTATTGCAATGGCTGCGAAAGTTGCTGAGATACAAACCTCCAAAAATCGCTTGCGAACCACTATGGAATGCGTTTTCTTGCACATCAAAGCTTGACAACACTGATTGCGGATGGTCTAAGCTAATCCAAGGATTTTGATATCGTCAAAATCTAAAGGTTTAATTACCCAAGATTGAGATTATGTTTCGTGTACAGCAAGCCCCAGCCGGTCCACCCCCACTTAATACACGATTTGCCATGGTGAATTCCATCTACAACACTCCATTTCATTGGTCTGTCTTCAAGGGTCTGATTGGTTTCGTCGCTGGTGTTGTGATTGCTCGAACTGTCAGTGAAGAATGTGCGAGTTCTCTTTAGTTGCCAGAAGAAGAACGATGGATGTGTAGTAATTGACATGCTTCAGTTCAATGTATGCATCCGAAATTAGTTGACTAGGCGTCATTGATAAAGATTTTTTTGAGAACAAAAAGTTATGTGCTACACAACTTGAACGAGGGATGGTACAAGTCGCAAACAACGACATCATTACATGGTTAATCGGCTTGTAACTTAATTTGTTCTCAAGTTATCTTGGAAATTTTTCAATAAAGAACTCAGAAACTCAGAAGAAAAACTGTTGTCGGTGCATTGTTCCACTTTTTTGGTCTCTTACATTAAAGAGTTAGTTTTTTTTTATTTTCCAAGTTCGCAAAATGAAAAAAAGTCGCACAAACTAGTAATCAGATTCTTGCTTATACATACAATAGTGACCCTTCAACAATAGATTGCGAAAAATCAACAACATTGATATCTGATAAGTCTTACTTACTTGGGTATGACTCATTCGTCCTTTTGTGACTCTTCCAAAAAACCAAGGACATGAGCAAATAGCCGTATGTACACAAAAAACGTGTCCATTGACAAATATCTCCAAAGTCGTGCACTATTTAGTGTCTTTTGACGATTTTTTACTCACATCACTTTTTTTACAGTAGTAATGCCGTTGTCT